CCTCGGAGGCGCAGGACCAAGTGCAGAGTGGATTCTTTCTGGATGTTGTAGTCGGACAGGGTGCGCCCATCTTCCAGCTGCTTTCCGGCAAAGATCAGCCTCTGCTGGTCTGGAGGAATGCCTTCTTTGTCTTGGATTTTGGCTTTGACATTCTCAATGGTGTCGCTGGGCTCTACCTCTAGGGTGATGGTTTTGCCCGTCAAGGTTTTCACAAAGATCTGCATACCACCTCGGAGGCGCAGGACCAAGTGCAGAGTGGATTCTTTCTGGATGTTGTAGTCGGACAGGGTGCGCCCATCTTCCAGCTGCTTTCCGGCAAAGATCAGCCTCTGCTGGTCTGGAGGAATGCCTTCTTTGTCCTGGATTTTGGCCTTGACATTCTCAATGGTGTCGCTGGGCTCTACTTCTAGGGTGATGGTTTTGCCCGTCAAGGTTTTCACAAAGATCTGCATACCACCTCGGAGGCGCAGGACCAAGTGCAGAGTGGATTCTTTCTGGATGTTGTAGTCGGACAGGGTGCGCCCATCTTCCAGCTGCTTTCCGGCAAAGATCAGCCTCTGCTGGTCTGGAGGAATGCCTTCTTTGTCTTGGATTTTGGCCTTGACATTCTCAATGGTGTCGCTGGGCTCTACTTCCAGGGTGATGGTTTTGCCCGTCAAGGTTTTCACAAAGATCTGCATTTTCTGTACAAAAATAAAAGTTATTGAAGTATAAGTATATTTTTGGACTCCAAAATACTACAGTTACATCACAGGAAATCACGAAGGCATGACTTTACCCTCTCACTTAATTATCAAGCAGTGGAGAAAGAACTTTTGACACCAATACACACATTGAATTGCAGCTCCACCTCCCCCACCCACGTAGGCTACTTCCTCCTCCCAAAGCTCACGCCAGGGCCCTGCTCCAGTCAGTTGTGTCACACTGAAAACGCCACTGCGTCAGCACGGCTGGTCAACCGCGCCCCATGACATGGGATAGTCCGCGCCAAACATTCCCGCTTACCTCGGCGCCCAGCAGGTCTGGTCAGGGCGGCCCAGCTTCCGCGGGCGGCGGCGGTCCCTAACCCCGCCCCCAGACAGGCCGGCGTCAGAGGCAGGGGGCAGCCCGTGGCCATGAAGGGGCGGGGCCTTCCGCGCGCCCAGACCGCCATTTTAGCGCAGGTCCGACTCTAACGCCCCCGCCCCCCACCAACCAGGGAGCCGCCATTCGTCGCTCCGAACGCAGCGAACCTTTTCCCTCAGGCCGCGCTCTATGCCCCCCCACCGCGCTGGGGCACAGCCCCCCCCCCCATATCTCAGTCACCGCAGAGGGCTGGCTCCTCCCCCCCTCCCGCCAGGCTCCTCAAGTCTGACCACCGACCCCCCCCCTCACCCCCAATATACGGGACGGCCCGGGCCCCATACCGCCCCCCTCGGCAGACGCAGCCCCCGGGCTGGACTCTCCGCCCAGCTTCGGACCCTCTTTGCCCTCAGGCCGGACTCGCCCCCTGTCGCTCTCCACGGAAGCCCAGCAGCGAGGCAGGCCCGTTCCCCAGCCCCCCCACTCACCGCAAGGACGGCGCTCCAGACAGAGAAACGGTCACGTAGAGTCAAGCGGATCTAAATGCGTCATAGCGCTGGCGCGACCCTTATATAGGCTCTCCCGCCCCTAGCTGAGATCCCTCCGCCGGGGACTATCTCGTCTCACTGCATATATGGCGCGCGCAGCCAGCATGGGGGCGGGGCGAGTTGCGGCCGTCAATGCGGAGGAATCAGCCGGCCGCTCAGTGTGTGACATGAACTGATGACGGGAATGGCCAAGGAACGGGAGATGGAGCGTGGAGTAAAACCAGGACTGGCATTACTGCCTGCCTGGGACGGGATCTCAGCTCAGCCTGGTTCTCTGAGCAGGGACTAGGCCTGGGGAACACGTCCATATGTGTGATTGTGTGTTGGGCTCCGTGTCTCATTGTGTGTCTGGGTTGTTGGGAATCTCTACATGAAAATGAATGTGGAGAAAAAGAGCAGAAAAAATAAAATAAACATGCAGCATTGTGCATTCTAGTTTCACCTGACAATACTTCTATTCTCTGGGATCCAGACCCTGAGGTCAAAGGGGGCCTGAAACACAGCAGAGTTTCAGAGTAGCAGCCGTGTTAGTCTGTATCTGCAAAAAGAACAGGAGTACTTGTGGCACCTTAGAGACTAACAAATTTATTAGAGCATAAGCTTTCGTGGACTACAGCCCACTTCTTCGGATGCTTGGGCTTTCCTTTACCAACTGTTATGCTTCTATTAATTTGTTAGGCTCTAAGGGGCCACCAGTACTCCTGTT